ATAATGAGTTCCAGGATAGCTAGAGTTACATAGTGAGACCTCCACCCCCATACAAACACTGGCCCCGGCAGCAGCAAGCCAGACACCATAAGAAAGTGACTGTGCCCTACTGGAGCCGGCAGCTGTGTCGGCACAGAGACAGGAGGCTGGGAGAACAGAGCTAACATGTCAGTGCTGCCGAGTGAACTTACTGATGACAGACACACATCATAGACATCAGATACATTAAACAGTAAGGCCAGTTTTCAACTCAACTAGCCCAGGGGAAAAGCATACCTACTTGAAGAGGTGTCCAGAAAGACCCGCGGGAGGGTCGGAGCACCCCTGGAGCATCACCATGTCTGGGCTTCCTGAATACAAGGCTCCTGATACTGGCTCTGTCCAGACATCGGTCCCCAACCCCAGATGAGAAAAGTCCTGGAGAGATGACAAAAATCTGCAAGAGCAGCAAAGCTGAGGAGCAACGCTCGCAGGAACGTGAGGTCACCATCAGCAAAGCTTGTGGGAACGTGAGGTCACCGCCAGTACCGCTCACGGGAACGTGAGGTCACCATCAGCAAAGCTTGTGGGAGCGTGAGGTCACTGCCAGCAATGCTCACGGGAACGTGAGGTCACCGTCACGTTGCTACGGCAGATGTGAGCATGGGCTATCTCACACATAGGCAGGGGTTGCATGGTGCTTCTCAGTGTCCTGCCATAGTCCCTTCCTCCCCTCAGTGCCTCCCTCCTGAGGAAGCTCCTTTGTCAGGGTGAACACCTGCTCTTCCTGCTACACCTCCTCCCCTGGCAACCCTGTTCCTGAACTTCCTGCTTTCTTCCTGGCTGCTCTGTTAGCCTAAACATGAGCTTGGTCTGTCTGTCATGACTTGTTTTCAGCTTGCCCTTGCAGGACATCCGTGTGCCTTTCCAGCTCCGACTGTTAAGCTGGCATCAGCATTCGAAGTAACCCTGTCAATAGTTACAGCACACACATTTACTCATCAGTTCCCCAAATATTTGCTAAGCTCCTATTGGTGCCCTATTATCCGTGCACTGGGGAAGCAGGCAGCCTGCTCTCTGCATCCCATCACACTGCATAGGTGAGCTGGTCCCTGGTTAGAGCTGAACTAAGTGCTAGACAAAGAAACTGGGACCCAGTGGGAGACTGAAAAGGCTTCCCAGAGAGATACTATTTGCCAGGAAAACTGGAGAGTGGATGGGAATCAGGCAGGCAAAAAAACCAACACCAAACACACTTTTCTCTGTGTGGTAGATCTGGGTGGCTGCGGGAGGTGAGGGCTCTGATGAACTGCAAATAGCTTAGCAAGGCTTGCGGTGCAGTGTGGGAAGGAGGCAGGGGCCGTGTGTAAACTACCCTAACAGCTAAGAAGAACTGCTCAAAGATTTCAGGGGGAGTGATGTTTCAGAGACCACTGACAAAGCAAACGACGGGGCAGACGCTGCCGTAGGAGCAGGCAAATGAGGCCATGGGCATGGACTCAGGTGGTGGAGATGATGGGGGCAGGAACAACCAACCGATATAAAGGAGACCTGACACTTCACTAGAGCAGGGGCAAGGTGTGGAGGGGCGGAGGGGTGGAGTGCTGGGCCGCTGCAGACAGGAGCAGGGAGCAGCACCTGCTCAGGAGTCAGGGCAGCCTGTGGGCTGAAGATGTTGGGACTGAGGAGGGCAGCGAGTACAGCAGAAATGGGTCTCTGGGAGACCCCAGGGCACAAGAGCACAAGTCCATCTCAGGGAGACGGAAGGCCACCCCATAGATATAAACTGAGTCCAGGAACTTCAACGGCACAGCCTTGGGGCTTTGGCCCAGCGCTTACCTGCTTGGGTGGCCTTGTGTGGCCTTGAAAGCAGCTCACTGAGTGAGGGGAGAGCTTCAAATAGACGGGCAGGACTGAACTGGGGCCAGGGGCAAGTGGGTGGCATAGCACATGGTGCCCTTGCTAGTAATACGTGAAGCACGCCAGTCAGCAAGTGAGGCAGCGAGCCCCGCGGACTGGCTGACCTGAAGCTCCACAACAGACGGAAGCCCTAGGTCCACCGTAGGGTAAGCATTAAGAACAAATGTGTTGGAAAAATCTATGAAAAATAGCCCTTCCCCCAGATCAACGTAACTGGCATGCAAAGGTCTCACTCACACACAAGCACGGGAATCTTTCATGGTGGTTTAACAGGCAGAAGATTACTGTGTACTGGTCTACCATGCATAAAGATAAAGGGTCAAACGGCCCATGAGGAAGTTCAGCAGGCTGTGGTAATGAAGCTTAGGAAAATAAACCTAGAAAGCTTAGGGCAGATGCCCTTGGCTGTCCAGGCTGCTTTCCTGCTCTGAACTTCAGGCCCTTGGAGAGCGGAGAGGCCTGGCAGACAGCAGAGAGAGCCACAAACAAGAGCTGGTGCCATTCCCAGCACCAGTGGGAATGCATTCTCAGGGCGGAAGAGAGGGTGGGAAAAGAGTGTGTGGTGGACAGAGACACTGTGTGGCATCTGAAGGTTGCCATAAGAGAACATGTTGGCTCCTGGGGTCCCAGGCAGGGAATATATGAATTGCAGAGAACTATATCCCCACAGAAAACTATGATATATTAGAAACCGCCCAAGAATAATGCAATTTCAGTGTGTGCAGTAGAGACCCATCCGTCTGCAGGCTCTGGAAGCCCAGCAGAAACCTGCTGCCACAGTGAAAGGGCACACCCGGGGTCAGCACGGGCAGGGCCAGAGGGCACAAGGGCACAGGAAAGGCAGATATGCCAGACACCATGCCAACCACGTCTGTTGCACCAACACGGCTCCTAGCTCACACCTGCCACAAGCTGTGAGCCTGTGACAACCAGAACGAGGGGAGGACAATGGCCAAGTATGGTTCAGGGATATTCTTGAAAATGCTCAGGGCTCTTCTCGGGCACTGCGCAGGGAGATCTCGGGAAGGCAGAGGGGAGCTCCTCCCACGGGAGGAGCTGGTTAGTTCCCTCAGTCTTCCACTTCGCATAAAGAGCAGTGGCCTGCTGGTAACAAAATGCAGCCTGCAGATTTACTGGGTTGGTCAGCCAGGAAGCTGGACGGTAAGGGCCAAGGAAACCCGAGGGAAGGCAATGAGCCCAGCTAAAGGAACTCTCGGGAAGGGTGTTGGCTGTTTCTATGTTTTCCCAAATTAATTCCTACCACAGACATCCATCATAATAAAGGCTCCAAGCAGGAGGCAGACGGAATGATAACAACCTTATTATTGTCCATCTCAGTACTGGTTCAGGAGGAGTAGCCATGGCGACAGGACGGAGGTTATACACTACCCACTACCCATGTACTGACATCGTGGACTAGCTAATCTGCCATCAGCAGACAGCAGTATGCTTGATAGACCACTCTCAAGAAAAAATGAGCACGTGGTGCCAACCAACACTGGGCACTGACTCTGCGGAACCATGAGTCTGTATGTTGAAAGCCTACAGCCTCGGCAGGATGGGATTTAGACACAGGGTCTGCAGCGGTTAATTAAGGCCAAGTGAGGTCATTCAGGGGCCCTAATCCAAAAGAAATGGTTTTCTTATGAAAAGAGATTAGGGCTCAGAACATCATGCCCCAAAGTCTGGCACCTTGATGTGCTGGGCTCTTTGAGGTGAAGACTCTGGAAGCCTCCGAAGCAAGGTCTCTCTAGCCTTCGCCCACCATCCCATCCAAGAGTAAGGCACAGAAACCAGAATTTCTTTTCCCCAAGGCAGGCCACTGACACTAGAAACCCACTCACCACGGTGCACCACAGAACCTACAAACCTCCCTTTCCCCATAAAGACTTTCATCTTGGAGGGTCCTACGCTGTACCCAGGAGGGGAGGAAGCTACAAAGGGGCCAGGAAGACTGAGCAGCCAGGCCTTGCTGGGCTCTCTATGGCCATCCCACCCATCCTTCCCCTCTTCTCGAGGGTCTTGTGGATCCACTGCCTCCTGTCAATCACAGGCTTCACTCCTACCTGTGCTGACTGTAGACAGAATCCTTCTCACACAGCTCCGTGCTCTCTGTTCTCATGTATGGAGCTGAGGTCATCAGTCCTTTCCACCCCCACATCTCTGAGTTCCCTACAAGAGCACACGCCAGCTGTCTTTGAACATGTATGTAATACACCTGCATTGTGTGCTCCGAAGTGACGTCAAAGTCAGACAGGTCTGTACGGATGACTCTGGTTTCCTTCTCTTCTATCCCACACTCCCTTCCAAAATATAAACCCTGGAACCCACATTCCCAATAGGGGCACAAAGACATCAGACTAGACAGAGTTCAATTCTGTAGGCCACTGAGACCTAAAGCCCTACCGCCTCACACCCGGGGAAGAAGGCACGAGAAAACCCTGCATCTCTCAGCACCCCAGAAGATGAAGGAGGAGGCCGGAAGTGAAGAGCCCAGTGTCCTGGGTCATGCAAGTGTCCAAGGAAGATGCCAGACACTGGCTGGGTCGAGAGCAACTTCCCCTTTCCTTGTGCCCCTTGAAAGACAAGTGTTGCGTTGTAGTTTTGGCTACTGTGGTATTTGGAGGTAACTGTGCAGTGGCCCCTGGCTGCTAATGGCACACATTTATATGATGCAATCACTGGCTGTTCCCATCAGGCTTTCTTATCTGTGCTCACTTTAACCCAGGACAGTCATGAAGCTTTGCGTTCGTTCCTCATCCAGGGCACATGACTAGCTCTTTAACAGGAAGACACTGTGGCTTTGACAAGATTACAAACACTGATACATATCCTATCTTGCTAACTAGGTTGGTGCTTCTCTCTGAAATAATGCTAAGAATTGAGAATGTCCATTCTGATCGACTGCTCAGCTTGATGTATTTTGTTACCTTAAAAACAAAACCCCTGACACTGACAAAGGCCACCCTGAGACCTAAATTCTCAGTCTCCTGCAAACACATCAGAAGCTCACAGGTTCACACGCAGTGCGTGCACACACACACACGCACTCACGCACGCACGCACGCCGTCACACCTCAGGGCCGGCATGCAGGTCTCACCTGCTGCTGCCTTTGCCGTCTCACTTGTGCGAACTGAGAGAGCATCAGCTGCCGGTCAAGTTGCTCCATCCTCTGCTGCCTCTGGATGTCCACGGTGGCTCCCATCCCAACTCTGGCCTCGCTGGTTGGCTCTGAAGAAGAGAAGATGGGCTCGAGGGCCCAGGAGGAGAACCGGGCCATCCTGCCAGGGATGCGAAGCAGCTGGTGAACCTGGAACACTTTGCGGTCATAGCACATGCCTGAAATCTAAGAGAAAACACCCAGCTGATTGTTCAAACGTAACAAAGATTGAGATGGTGTATTTAACAGGGACTCGATAGTGACAATGTCTCCAATGGCATTTTCTAGATGTGGCAGTGTTCATAAGTCCTGCCACGTGGCCGAGCACACAGCACTCCTAAACACTCCTGCTGTGAGAACACTACTCGACACACAAACCAACGCGGACTGAACTTAGTAAGACAAGCTTGCTCCATAATCAGGAGTTAGCAAAGGCCTGACCACTTCACATACCACGTACAGATACAGTTGTAAGGAGGATGTCTCAATTTTAAAAGAAATCCAGGGGCTGGGAGATGGCCTGGTCAGACAAACATGGAAACCTGAATTCGGTCCCTGGCTCCCAGCCAGACCTGGCTGCATGTGCAAATACCCCGTGCTGGGGAGGCTGAATCATACGAATCCCTGGGGTTCACCGACCCAATAGCCCGCAAGCCCTAGGTCCAAGTGAGGGAGCCCATCTGAAGAAGCCAGGTGGACGATCCTGGGACAGATACCAAGATTGACTTCTGGCTTACATACAAATTAAGTTACAAAATACAAAAAAGGTTTGATTATCTAAACAATCTCACATTGGAGCAACTCTGTGGGGCCCCACTGGCAGATGGCCCGAGGGACACACAGGGCCAGAAAGGAAGGACATGTAAACCCCGAATTTACCCAAACATGGCTCTTTCTCTAGATGTTCAGTTACTCATTAATATTAGTTAGCAATAGATACTTGTGGAAAATACTTTTTACAAACAAATCTATTTGTTGTAAAGATCATTACAAAAGATATTTACATAGAAGGAGAAACCTCAGGATTTCTTCTTAATATGGCTTTTTAGGTAAAAATCACCATACATATTCTTTTAATACATAAAAAAACTTTAACCGGGTGATGGTGGTTCTCACTTTTAATCCCAGAACTTGGGGTGGAGGATGTAGGTGCAGGCAGATCTCTGTGAGTTCAAGGCCAGCCTGGTCTACAGCACGAGTTCTCGGTTGCCAGCACATCCATCCCTTCACTGGCACTGAAGCCGACTTCTTTGGGACTCCAGCACATACAGAGGACCAGCTGGGACACCAGCCTCCTGGGACTGAGCAGCTGCTGGGTTCTTGTTTGACTCAGGCTGTAAGTCATTCCAATAAATTCCCACATATAGATACATATTTATAAAAATTCATATACATATAGAATGAAACCCCCCCTCCATATAAATATAGTGGTATAGTTTTTGTGTTGTAATAAATAAAGCTTGTCTGAGATCAGAATGCAAAGCAGCCACACTAGTCAACCATGCAGACCAGGCAGTGGTGGCACACACCTTAATCCCAGCAGTCACACTAGTTAGCCATAGAGGCCAGGCGGTGATGCACGCCTTTGATCCCAGCACTAGAGAGGAGTATAAGATGGGAGGAGACGGGTCTCAGTCTCAGTCTGAGGATTTGTGGAGACAGGATCACCACTTCGGTCTGAGGTAAAGGTAAGAGCTTTTCTGATCTTCAGCTTGAACCCCATGTCTCTGGGTTTTTATTATTTGAGTTACATCTAGCACCCAATGTTTGGGGGTACGGATTCACAAAAAAGCAGTTTGCCTGTGGTTTTACAGCCACCTTCATAGGCTGGAGCTACACTCGGTCGAAGTCACAGCCCTACCAGCTAGGCGTTTCTTTCTTCTCTCCTGGGGGGCTCTCCCTAAACCCCCTCCTCAGGCTGATGTCAAACTAGTAGCTGCCTTGAAATCCAGTCAGGTTTTTACTGTTCTACGCAGCAGCAATCAGCCTCACATCTTCTTCATCATCATCACTGGTGGCAGATTTGGTGAGAAAATTGAGAATTATTTAAGGGAGGAATGAGTGAAGAGAAAGAGATTTTTCCCACATTAAAAAATTGGGAAACATCATTACAATGGGAGTTATGTCTCTGTATGATAATTTGCTGAACAGTTTGAAGACACAACAACCAACCTTAATATACCCAGTAACCTTACAGGAAGTACCAAATGCTAGAGGCTCTGAAGAGCTGAAGGGACTCCTATGGCAATGTTAGATTGGAGGAAGGAAGCAATTGTCTCCTATGGCATGCACTCACCTTTTGTGAAGCAAACGTTAAGTGTGTGGTCAGCTTGTAATAGAACTACTCCTAAGACTGGACAGACTTGGATACAGCTGTTTCAGAGCCTGGTCCACAATTGCAGTGGAGTACCTGGTTCAGAGAAGAGGCTAAGACTATGGAACAACGAACTAAAGCTAGAGGTAAGGAAATCTCCTAAGATCAACTTTTTAGAGAAGGTGAATATGCTACTATAGAAAGGAAAATTGTATATGATGACCACACCCTGGATTTAAGCCATGCAACAGCTCTGAATTCTTGGAACAGAATTGAAGAAGTAGGAAAGAAGATTTAATTATTTACTAAAGTCATACAGGGTTCAAAAGAAACCTTCACAGATTTCTTACATCAGCAGTAAATAGAATGATACCAAATCCAGAAGCTAGACAAATAGTAACTGACTTACAGACTTTTGAGGATGCTAACTCTCAATGCAAAAGGACAATTAAAGGCAAGATGAGCACCCTTGGAAGACTGGGTTTCAGATACAATCAATACTAAATCTCATGACGATGACACTTGGATAGGAGAGGTGATTTCCAGAGGTTTCAGTCACCTTGAAAGGGATTGTAAACAGGGTGTTCCCAGAAGCAATGTTTTTTTTCCAGGCTTAATCCTCTCAGAATGCCCCTCCCTTCTGGATGATGCAGAAGGCCACAAAGGCAGGCACTGGACTAATGAATGTAGGTCAACAAGGGATATTCAAGGTAACTGCCTGAGGGGCCTCTTACAGGCCCCTGTGTCAAATCTGGTTCAGTCATTTCCTGCCATCATAGAGTAAACTCCTTACAGAGCAATTAAAGATCCTAATGCCTATTGTAAGAAACCATCCTGCTCTAGATAACAGAACAGCTAGAAAAGAGAAAAAAAAATTCAGGAGAAACCATAGTTGAGTATTTCAGCAAACTTCTATGAATGAACAATGACCAAAACTATAAATACAAATAAATGACATTATTATTGAAGGCTTGGTGGACACAGGTGCGAATGTAACAATTTTACCAGAATCTTGGCATCCATATTGGCTCTTCAGGAGATAAATTTTCAGTTTTTAGGAATTGGAACTTTATCTCAGGCAAAGCAGAGCACAAGATGGGCTGAATGTATAGAGCCAGAAGGACAGAGAGGAATATTAAAACCATATGTAGCTAACATAGCAATGAATTTGAGGGGATGTGATTTGTTATATCAATAGAATACTCAGATTAACATTTCCCCAATCTTAGAAACAAACCATAAATTAAAATATGTTTTTGGGAAAAATATTACAAGATAGTACAAAGAACAGCCACTGGTCACTCATGTTGTACAAGAACAGGGCACAACAGCTGCTGATCTCCCAACAGCCCCACCTTTAAATTGGTTGTCAGACAAACCTGTATGGTTTAAGCAATCGTCTTTAACAACAGAGAAGCTGCAGGCTTTAGAATAGCTAGTACAGGAACAACTAGATTCTCAGCATCAACCAGTCCTTGGAATTCTCCTGTATATGTTGCTAAAAAGAAATCTGGAAAATGGAGAATGGTAACAGATTTAAGAGCTGTTAAAAAGGTAATTCAACCTATGGGCTTTCTACAGTCTGGAATTCCTCTATTGCCTAAACGATGGCCTCTTATAGTTATTGATTTAAAATACTGTTACTTTATTATACCTTTACAAGAAAAAGACAGAGAAAAATTAGCCTTCACAGTGCCTACTTATAACAATTCTCAGCCTGCTAAAAGATATCAATGAAATATTCTCCCACTGGGAATGTTGAATTGCCTCACCCTGTGTCAATATTTTGTAGGGAATCAATTGTAAATGATACATAAGCAATTTCCTGAATCTATAGTTTATCATTAAATGGACAACATTTTGCTATCTGATTCAAATACAGATACTTTAGAAAGAATCTTTTAAGAAGTAAAGGAAATTTTGCCTTGCTGGGGATTACAAATTGCTTCTGAAAAAAAAAATACAAAGAGGAGATTCTATTGCTTATTTAGGCTATAAAACAGGTTTACAAAAAATTAGGCCCCAAAGGTGCAAATTAGGAGATTGATTGCAGACTTTAAATGACTTCCAAAGATTGCTAGGAGACATTTTTCATCTACAGCCCACTACTGGGACAAAATCTGATGGACTGATTGATTTAAATAAAACCTTAGATGGTGACAAGGACTTAAACAATCCCAGGAAATTACCAGCTGATGCTGAAAGAGAATTGACTTTGACTGGAGAGAAATTACAGGAGGCACATACAGATCATGTGGATCCGAATCTTAACTGCATTCTGGTCATATTACCCTCCAAACATTCCTCTATAGGAATTTTAATGCAGAGGGAAGAGATTATCTTAGAATAGATCTTTTTATAACATAAACCAAGTAAAAAATTTAAAACTTACATAGAAAAGGCCTGTGAAAGGAAAATTGAGACTTCGCCAATTAGCAGGAATAGACTCAGCAGAAATTGACAAATTACGTGCAGAAAGTGAACCCTGGAAAAAAGCCTGTAGTAATTTTTTGGGGGGGAGAGATTAACAACTCTTGCCAAAAAAGCAAGAGAATTGAACTTATAAAGAGAACTAGCTGGACCCTTCTTCACATTGTACCGGACACACCAATAACTGGAGCCCATACATTCTATACTGATGCAAATGAATCAGGAAAGGCAGGCTACAAATCAAAAAATTTAAGTCAAATGTATCAAAGCCCTTATGATTCTGTCCAAAAGTCAGAACTATATGCTATTCTCATGGTACTAATGGATTTTAAAGAACCTCTCAACATAGTTACCGATTCATGAGACACAACAGAAAGTGCGTGCCACACACTGTTAGGACGAGGCCAGTCAGCCCTTCAGAACATCCCGCTTCACAGAAAAT